ATGCTAAAACTCTACAGATGTGATTTTGTCCCAAAGAAGATGGCTGACAGAGGATTCATTATGTTAATGTACTGGTCATTAATTAGACAGATGATCGACAGGCATGTTTTTTTCTCCTTTCTTTCCAAATGATTCCACTTTCAAACAAGAAAAGTGGAAGAGAGATACACCATCAGCTAATTGACGATCCATCAGTCTTATTCCCCTCGGGGAGTCTGCTTCCTCTGCTGCTGTTCAATTAACGGATTTGCAGCGGGGCTACATCCCTGCCACGTCTCTGCCTCAACACTTTTCATTACAAAGACTGACAAGGGCTCACAGATTAGCCTGAGTTTGATCAATACTCCTACAAGCTCGTCGTGCACATGCGTACGTGCAAGCACAAACGCTCTCACTGAACGTTTTTTGAATGTGGTTTGCCTTCATCTACATTCACACAGAGATAAACGTACAAAGGTGTGCTCACATGGACACATGCAAATGAGTCATTTTACCCTAAGTGAGAGATTAGAGCAACAAAAAAAAAAAACATAATGAAGACTTTGCAGCTCCCAAAGAGAACAATATGAATTTTTAGGAAGGTTTGTGCATGTTTAAGTGTATTTATCTTGTTCTGACAGGTGGTGTCACGATCCTTCTAAACACAAATCAGCTCCAATTAACTCCTCTTCCCACACAGGGGGCAGTCCAAACAATTGCATGTAATTATCTGCCAAATTGGCCGGATGAAGAGTAGAATAAAAAGCCTTAAAAGCTTCATTAGAGTGGATGTATGCCAATTTGATAAAAAGCTCCTGTGCTTCCCCAGACACATACAGAAAGACAGAGAAAGAGAAAGAAGGGTCACAAGAGGTTAGAATATTTTTACTCAGCTGACTCACACATCAATTTGAAGATCCAGTGTGTAGGATTTAAATGGTAAATGGACTGCGCTTGTAGAGCATTTTTCTAGTCTTCTGACCACTCACTTTTACACTACATGTCACATGCACACATTCACACACTGGTGGCTGAGGCTACCGTACAAGGTGCCACCTGCTACTCAGTAACCATTCACATGCACTCACACACTGATGGAGCAGCTATCAGGGCAATTTGCAGTTCAGTGTCTTGCCAAAGGATACTTCGACATGCAGACTGGAGGAGCCGGGGATCGAACTGCTGCTCCTCCAATTAGTGGTTGACCCGGTCTACCTTCAGAAGCACAAATTGGCATAAATAAATATAATATAATAAGTATGTTTTCTTTCATGTATAATCACCTGAAAATAAATACAGTGTTTTTGTTCCCTTTGAATGAGCCGTTTATTTTTACATAGGTCGTGGGTCCCAGTCTATGGAGATCACCATGTTGTTCGCCATGTTTTTACAGTACAATGTGCAATAAGCAAATGCTGGAAACAACGGTAACAATGGGGCACTATGGGTTTGCTAGTGTTTTGTTTGCACTTCTTGGTCGAATGACTACTTTACACTTAAACCCACCACCTCACAGACAAACGGAGGCCTCTGCTGCACCATCTGTTTTTGCTCCTCCTCAGCGTCCGGGGTTTAAAGTCCACTAGAACTGACGGTTTTGGATCAGGGCTGGTCGAACTGGCAGATGGTGGGACACTTTTCAGAGTGCGATTGTTGTTGATGAAGAGTGGAAGGAAAACTTTTGCATGTCCAGCATCACAAGTATGTTTGTGTGAGCTTCACTATCCTTAAATTGAATGGGAATCAGCGGTGTTTTACAAAGTTAAACATTAGCCTGTACACTTCACAGATAGACAGCTAACCACAGATTATCTCAGCTGCTGTTCAGCTGTGTAACATCTCGCCTATTTTATCCGCGTGATGCGCTTTTTCAGCAACAAATCAACTGTAAAAACGGTCTTTTGATACTCATATTGACATCGTGCAAACTTTTGCCACAGTTTCAATGTTTATAGTATTTATTTGTGACTCAACATTTCCTGTTGTCCTCTGACAATTTGTTACCACAAGGCTTTTTACTGTGAAATATTTACAGGACCATGTTGTTGACGATTCAGTGGCTTGTACAGCTCCATTAATATGTAGAGTACTGGCTTTCAGTTGCGGAAATACAGTAGTTACAGCAGCAGGGAGCTCTACAGCCACGCTGCAGTGACCACGCTGTCTGTGTGAACACTGCAAAATGAGCGTTTGGAGTCGTTTTAGCGCTCTAGGGTTGACTATACACAAAAATATCTGGATACGTAGAGACAGGGCCGAAGTCATTAGAGAAAAAAAGTGAGCACTGATAAGCAGATGCTAGGCTTTTGTCCAGTTTGCCAAACAGCACAGGAGAAACACTGATTTTTTTCACGAAATTTGGCTCCTGGTAAAAACCACCTGAACGCCTGGGTCTTAAGTTACAGAGAATAACGAGAGCACAGATTAGCAGGTGCTAGGCTAACAGCCCTTGTCTGACATGTCAGATTTTTAACATCAAACTGCTTTATTCCAGTTTTAGTCACCTGGTTCTGAAGAAGAAGAGACCTCTGCAGATAATTCAGCTCCTGGTAAAAACCTCCTGAACAACAAACACTTAAGGAATTCTAACTGGGAGAAGTTTCAACTGGTTGCATTTGCAGTCCTCACCGCTATATACACACTGGAGCTTTAGGTGAGACTTTAATAACACGTGCCAACTGATGGAAAGAAGAGACAAATTAAGAAACTGGATATTCAGTGTGTGCTGAATCAAAATTTCTTCTCATTATTCTTATACTGCCATTTCCTTATTTCCTCTTCTCTCCCATCTCTTCTTCTTCTTCCCCTCTCAACTCTACTCCCTCCTCGTTTTCTCTCCCTCTGCTTCTCTTCTTTTCTCACCTCTCCCCTGCCTGTGACCCTTTTCTGATCTTCTTCCCCTCCCTTCTCCTTTCCCCTTCTCTCTTTACTCATCTCCTCACATTTTACCTAGTTTCTCTTCTTTTTTTCCGCTCTTGCTCCATCTCTCCATTCCTCCCTCTGGTCTTCTATTCCAGTGATTCCCAACCAGTTTTGACTTGTGACTCATCAGTGTCCACTTGTGACCCCTTGTCACAGATTGTGGCCTTTGTGTAGGCATGAGCTGTGAGCAGCTGAACCTCAGACTGTTTAATCTGAAGGATTTTAGAGGCATGCGGAGGTTCAAGTATTTCACAAGAAAAGAGAAAACATAGGGTCAAGAGAAAAGTGTGTGCATCACTGCTGTTTACTTAAGTGGACCGCTTTGTACTGCTGCCTTTTATGCCTGAATGTGTCGGTCTGTGTGTGTGAGAGAGACAGACAGACAGTTTCCTCATGCGCGATCAAAACTGATCCTACCAGTACAGAGCAATACTTACATATTGTGTGGAAATGTACACTAACGGCCACTTTATTAGACACCCCTGCTCAACTGCTCATTAACACATATAGCTAATCAGCCGATCATGTGGCAGCGACTCAACGCATTTAGGCATGTAGACATGGTCAAGACGACCTGCTGAAGTTCAAACTGAGCATCAGAATGGAGAAGAAAGGTGATTTAAGTGACTTTGAACGTGGCATGGTTGTTGGTGCCAGACGGGCTGGATTGAGTATTGCAGAAGCTGCTGATCTACTGGGATTTTCACACACAACCATCTCTAGGGTTTACAGAGGATGGTCTGAAAAAGAGAAAATATCCAGTGAGCAAAAATGCCTTGTTGATGCCAGAGGTCAGAGGAGAATGGCCAGACTGGTTCAAGATGATAGAAAGGCAACAGTAACTCAAATAACCACTGGTTACAACCAAGGTCTGCAGAAGACCATCTCTGAAGCAACAACACGTCCAACCTTGAAGCAGATGGGCTACAGCAGCAGAAGACCACACCAGGTGCCACTCCTGTCAGCTAACAACAGGAAACTGAGGCTACAATTCACACAGGCTCACCAAAACTGGACAATAGAAGATTGGAAAAACGTTGCCTGGTCTGATGAGTCTGGATTTCTGCTGCAGCATTCAGATGGTAGGGTCAGAATTTGACCTAAACATGAAAGCATGGATCCATCCTGCCTTGTATCAACGGTTCAGGCTGCTGCTGCTGCTGGTGGTGTAATGGTGTGGGGGATATTTTCTTAGTACCATCTGAGCATGGTTTAAACACCACAGCCTACCTGAGTATTGTTGCTGACCGTGTCCATCCCTTTATGACCACAGTGTACCCATCTTCTGATGGCTACTTCCAGCAGGATATCGCACCATGTCACAAAGCTCACATCATCTCTAACTGGTTTCTTGAACATGACAATGAGCTCACTTTACCCAATGGCCTCCACAGTCACCAGATCTCAGTCCAATAGAGCACCTTTGGGATGTGGTGGAACGGGAGATTCTCATCATTGATGTACAGCTGACAAATCTGCAGCAACTGTGTGATGTCATCATGTCAATATGGACCAGAATCACTGAGGAATGTTTCCAGCACCTTGTTGAATACATGCCACAAAGAATTAAAGCAGTTCTGAAGCAAAAGGGGTCCAACCCGGCACCAGCAAGGTGTACCTAATAATGTGGCTGGTGAGTGTAAGTAAGGACAATGTTTTTATACAGTAAACTAGTCTATATGAAACAGGTATTATAATATTACACGTGTTTCAGTTCGACGACCTTCAATTTTAAAATGTCAGTGACCACAAAGATCGCTGTGTAAAATTACAATGTGATAGTGAGATTTAAATTCGGCATTTGGATACAGCCGCCGCTCGGACAAGAGCAGCCTCAGTGCGCACAAGTTTCGTTTATTAAAATACGCTGTGCTATCACACCACGAGGCAAATTCACGAGATAAAACCCAGTGAGTGTGAGCTACTCTGTTTTGATAAGCCAACGAATTATTTTACTGAGTGACTGACACAAACTTATCAAAAACCTCGTGTTGAATCTTCAATGGACAGTTAATGTGACAGAGGACAGAGGTCACAGCAGAGCCGGTTATCACACAGTTAAAACACAAATAAAAGCCTAGTAATGAAACATAACTTACCACAATCACCTCGGCTGCAGTGTTTTTGCATCAGAGTCCAATCTAGGTGGGATCTGCCTGAAATTTGACTAGTGAACAGTCGCGTTACGGAGCTCCGTGTGTGCGCACGGAGAGCTCAGAGAACAGCCTCCACCCCAAACCCCCTCTGCACACACACACACACGCACGCACGCACGCAATTATGATGTTATCGACAAGTTAATTAATAGGCTAGAGGCCATGAACCGAACCATTCCCCTCACCAGTTTATGAAGACCCCTTTTACGCCAATTGCTTAGATCCGAATTTGGGTTTCTCAGTTGAAATAGCCTGTATGAGAATCCATACACTGAGCAAAAATTTAAATGCAACACTGTCTTTTCTCTCTTTTTTTTACAAGTTCAAGTTAAAGATGTAGACTTTTTATGCACTCAATAGACATATTTCTCTCAAATTTTGATGCCATATCTATTTGAAATCCATGATGGACAGCACCTCTCCTTTCCTAAAATAATCCATCCACCTTACAGGTATGGCATATCCAGATGCTGATCAAACACCATCATTACTACACAGGTGTGTCTTGGGATGGTCACAGTAAAAGGCTACTCTAAAATGTGTGGTCTTATCTACAATAAAAACAAACAAAACAAAGATATTTATTGAGATTTTACATAGTAATTTATTAATAGATAATAGATACTGGGTGAGAGGCAGGGTTCACCCTGGACAGGTCACCAGACTATCACAGGGCTGACACATAGAGACAGACAACCATTCACACTCACATTCACACCTTGGGACAATTTAGAGTCACCAATTAACCTGCATGTCTTTGGACTGTGGGAGGAAGCTGGAGTACCTGGAGAAAGCCCACGCTGACACAGGGAGAACATGCAAACTCCGCACTGAACGGCTCCTACACCCGGTTTCAAAACAGTAACCTATGAGTAGCGGTATAGAAATGCCTTTTATGGCCCCGTCCACCTCTCCTCGTGTCTTCTGGTATTTCCTTCATACTCTTGAGACTGTGCTGGGAGACACATCAAACCAACTTGCAACCGCACGTATGGATGTGTCATCCTGGATGAGCTGGACTAACTGTGCGACCTGACTGGGTTGTAGGCAGGGCTGAAAATTAGCTTTTTGGCTCACCGGCCAAGCATATTTTTTACCATCCGAAATAATAAATTGCCTTTTTCTGTCACATATACATTTGTTTCAGTACTTGAGATAATACAGTATTATGTTGAATACAAGCTTAAAGGAGAGGCCAGAGTGAAATTTGATGCAGGCTATGTGACACTTGCTGCGTTCATGGTCACGTGGTTCACATGGTTCCAGCAGGGAGCAATTTAAGTGCGACACACAACAAACAGAGCACCGGTCTGCTATTAGCCACCATCAAATAGCTATTATGTATATATATGATTTATTACATGACTATTTTGGTACAAACATTTACCTGCCAATGTGGCAGATAGCCTTGCGAGATTTACCAAATGGAAAATCTACCTGCAACTGGGGCTTGGCGGGTGTTCATTTTCAGCCCTGGTTGCAGGTACCGCCTCATGCTACCAGTAGTGACAAGAACACAAAACTAGAGAAGAATCAGTCAGGAAGGATAAGGAGAGAGCAGCTGTCTGTGGACACCACATGTAAAACTATTCCCTTCTGGGGGGTTGTCCTGCCTTTGCCTCTCCATTGCACCTATTGTCACTTTCATTTGCACCAAAGCAGGTGAAGCTGATTCACAATCACTTGTGCTTCCTAAATGGACAGATTAATATCCCTTTTTTTGAGCAGTGTCATTGATCAGGTGGCTTGTTGTGGCCTGTGGAATGTTGGCCGCCTCCTCTTCAATGACTGTGTGAAGTTACTGGATATTGGCATGAATTGGAACACACTGTCGTACACACCAATCCAAAACAAACATGCTCAATGGGTGAAATGTCATGTGAGTATGCAGGCCATGCAAGAACTGGAATGTTTTCAGCTTTCAGTAGTTGTGCAACATGGGGCCATGTGTTATCATGCTGCATGAGGTCATGGCGGCAGATGAATGGCATAACAGTGGGTCTCAGGATCTCATCACGGTATCTCTGCGTTCAAACCGCCATCAATAAAATGCACCTGTGTTCGTTTTCTGTAGCTTTTGCCAGTCCATACCATAACCCGAGGGCCACCATGGGGCACTCTGTTCACAACTTTGGCATGAGCAAAACACTCTCCTGCACATCTTCATACACTCTGTCTGTCCATACAGTGTGAAACAGTGGTTCCCAACTGGTCCAGCCAGGGGGGGTCCAGAGTTCTCTGTAGTCATTAGTTCAAGGTCCACACAGTGTAATATGTTCAACATCATAATCGCATCTGGCCATGTTGTTGAGCTAGTTTGCTGTCTGTTAGCTATTCACTCTACAGCAAGAAATTGTGCTTGGAAGTAAAAGCTATGTGCCAGAAATTCACCGTATTTCAAAATAAAGTGTACAAACTTGACACGTTCTTAAGTCACTTGTGGTCCATTCAGAATGGACCCCGAGCCACCCTTCTTTGAGACCATTTCTGATGGTTTGTAGAGAAATTCTTCGGCTGTGCAGTCCCATTGTTTCATCAGCTGTTCAGGTGTCCGGTCTCAGATAAATTTGCAGATGAAGATGCTGGATGTGGAGGTCCTGGGCTGGTGAGGTCACACATGGTCTGTAGTTGTGATTACGGTTGGATGTACCGCCAAATTCAAGGAAATTGCATTGGAGATGTCTAGCTGTAGTGAAATGAACATTCATTTCATGGGCAACAGCTCTGGTGGACATTCCTGCAGTCAGCATGCCAATGACATGCTCCTTCAAAACTTGCGACATCCGTGGCTTTGTGTTACATGATAAAACTGCAAATTTTAGAGTGACCTTTTATTGCGACCATTCCAAGGCACACCTGTGTAGTTATCATGCTGTTTAATCAGCATGTTACATCTGTCAAGGGGATGGATTATATACATGAAAAAGTAAAAGTGCTCACTAATGCACATTTAAAAAAAAAAAAAAAGTACATCTTTAACTTTAATATATATGTAAATGGCCCAGAATAGAGGTGGGTATACCCCAAATACCTGCGTAAACCCTCCACTACGCCACTGATCCTCTCGTCTCAGATAGATTAAAATAATAAAATTACACATAGGGGTTAGAAAAAGGTACAGTAAACCCTATACAAAAGGGCAAAAAGGAGCTGTCATGTATTTCCGAACCCTCTTACAGTATGTGAACACTGTAGATGTCCACCATTCATTTCCGGTCTCACTCCTTTTTCCTCTTGCCCTGTACGTGTATGAAGCAGGAACCATTTCAGCTCGCACAGGTGAGTCTTTGTGTCAGTACAGACTGTCTTACATGCCACAAATCTTTCTGCGTGCTGGTGCCTTTTTGACAGCCCGAGTCTGCGACTGATGAGGACCATGCTATTTAATGATTAAGTAAAAATAATAACTGTATAGTGACTATATTTAATTTGACTTTTAGTAACAAAAACATTTACTTTCGCAACCCCTAAAGCCTCTGACTGAAAGGGATTTCTTTTCTTTGGAAAAGAGAAATTGATGTCTGAAACATGCAAGGGTGCCGAATGACTTTACCCGGTGACTCAAAGAGGCCAGAGATAGACTGGCGCCCTGCTGGAAAAGACAGCAGGTTCCTTTACCTGTTTTTAAAGTACAATCATGAAATACATATGGATATTATTGTGGCTGAACTTGTGCTCATGTGACCCCAGAGGTTCACTGTTTCAGTGCTACAAACAAACTGTTGGGGTGAAGCATTTCTAGCAGTCTCCATGTACACATGAAGGTTGTGAAAGAAAACTTTGGACGATGATCCTGACTGGGTTCTAGTCATGTTTTCTGGGACACATCTGCAAACGTTTTGCAAAAGGGGGCCATGTGCATGAACATTTTAAGCGGCGCACAGTGCAGGTATACAGTAACTAATCTATGAACAACAGCTGTGTTCATACACACTGATGTCTGCATCACGTTGGTCTAATCTGCCTGCTGAATAAAATGCATCTCATGTGAATTTTTTTTTTGTATATCACCGTCTCTTTCACGACACTTGATAAGTGATCAAAAATTTGCAAAACTGCGGAGCTTTGTAGCCAATGAGGTTGCGTTGATAACCGTTCCTGATTAGTTCTCACATCAGAAAGTGTCTGGGAGCCCCACACTACCTCAGCAGTATATGAAAAGGGATTTTGGAGCCCTTTGTTATCAGTTTAACAGAGGAGTATAAATGTGCAAAAGCAAGGCTGAAGACAATGCTGTCAAAGTGGAGGGATATAACAGTGCAGAGTACAGCACCAGCGGTCTCAGCAGGAGTAAGTGGAATCCAAGAGAGGCACTTGTACAGGATCAGCTGTTAGATGTAGACATATTAAAGGGTATTTTACTGAACAGTTCTGAACAGGCAATTCATGCAAGATTAAAGGGATACTTTGCTGATGTCCAACCAGCTTTGTGTCGTGACAATATGGATAGTATGTGTATGAAATGTGTTAAATTTCCACCATCTTACCAGCACCTACATCTGTCTGCTTCCCTCTCAGCTATACACGTCATCCAGCAGAGTTCTGCTGGCTCTCAGGCAGCTGCTCAAACTTCAGGCTGTACTCCTGCATTTTCAACAGACCTGCCTTTCTGTCTCTGTCTCTGTCTCTGTCTCTCTCTCTCTCTCTCTCAGCTTAAATATATAAATAAAATAGACTTATAAATATGCTTTAAAGACACTGATGCATTTTGTAAAGCCACCCGTTGTTAGTGTTGTTTTAGGTCACTGCGCAAAATCGTCACATATCATAGGGCTGGGCGATATTACTTAAAATCAATATCACGATTAATTAAAGGTTTTACCTCGATTACGATTAATGATTGATTATTTTATTATTTCTACGTGCATTTAGAAAGAAACAATATAAACCCAGCCGAGCCCTGCGTCTTTTCATAGACATATTTTAATAAAATGTCTTATTAAACCTTTTCCCCGCAGCTGGCTTTTGATCATATTTAATCTATATCCAATTCCTGCACCTGGCTTCTGATTATAATCAAAAGTCAGGTGCAGGCGGAAAAGTTTGTGGAGAGTTGGTGGTTATTATGATCGTGAGCATTGGCGAGTTGGAAATCAAAAATCAATAATTGACATGGATCAGAGAAGGCCTCTTGGTGCAGTTATTGCAGCAGGATTGCTGTAGGCTACCTGCAGGCTGAGGAGGAGGCTGCCCAGCTGAGGAGGCAGATCCCAGAAAGACAGCGGAGAATGAGGCGGAGGATGAGGATGAGGATGAGACGTGATGAGACGAATGAAAAGTTCAAAGTACTCATTATGCAGAGTGACCCAGTTTCAAGTGTTGTAATCATCATATACATGAATATGTATTGAGTATTAATTGATTAATTTACACGTAGGCTACATGTAAGCAGCATTTAAATGTTGTCATGGTAGAACTAATTTTAACACCTTTCACTAGTGTACTAGTCTGATCTATAACAACACACATCAACTTGTAAATATTAAACTTACAACATATAAAACAAACTATCTGAAAAGTAACTATAGCTATTAAATAAATGTAGCTTGAGTAGAATGTACAGTATTTCCCTCTAAGTATAAAGTAGCACAAAATGGAAATACCCAAAGTACAAGTACATCACATTTGTACTTAAGTGCAGTAGCTACTTGAGTAAATATACTTAGTTACTGTCCATCACTGCATTTGTCTCATCATTATGCTTTCTGTCTACATTTTTATGTAGATTTGACTGGTACACCTAGAAAAAACAAAAGCAGTTTAATGTTGTATTAAGTCTGACATTTTATTGAAGTGTTGAGTTGTAGATTGTGGTGCTGTTGAACTGTACTGGATTACACTGACAGCAGTTACTCCATGGTGCTGTGCGCCGGATGAAAAAACAAGCGCGTCGCACCGAATGTGCGCCACTACGGCGTCGCTTTGGTTTGTGAGTGCACATGACGCACGTCTACATTGAAAGTAATGGGTTTGTGCACGCAAAACACGCTACATCTGAACTCCCCCCATGCACACACACGTTTTTTTTGCCTATCTAAGACAAAGGCCTGCCTTTGTTGGACCCATCCACCCCCAATTATAAAAAACTGTGAAACTAGACATCAGTGGAATGCTCAGAACACTTTCACAGTTCATCATGTGTATTGATAACTTTCTAGAGAGTGAATAAGTTGTTCTCTGCAACAGCACTGTTTAAACTTACAGGAGGACATTTGTGTTTCAGGTGTCACAGTGAGCACCGTGGTGGATCTGCAGAAGAGAATTATTGGAGGTCAAGAGTGTAGAGGAGATGAGCGTCGTTACCATGTGA